GCTTCCAGAAGAGATCAAAGAAGAGGAGGTTCCTACTGACGATGGTAAGCCACGTAAAATTAAAACAACTAAACGTACTATTAAAAAGCGATTAGGTCCAAAACTGGAAACAACAGAAATCACATCAAGACAAACAGATGACGAAACACCAATCGTTACAGTACACACAATAGAGGAAATTCTCGATTACACTACATCTCCTCTTGACACTTTACAAGAACCACAACGAGCTAAAGTGATTGAAGAAGAACCAGAACAAGTACAGATTGATCAAGTGAAAACGGAAAGTGGTGAAACGCAGCAGGTGAAGACAATCAAGCGAGTGATTAAAAGGCGTAAAGGGCCCAAGAAAGAAGTAACTGAGATAACAACGATTGAAAAGGAAGGCGAAGAACCCGTCACCAGTATTGTCGTGAAAGAAGAACCTGCTCCAGACTTCGAAGAGCTCCCTGAGGTCCCACAAGTGCTTGAGCTTCCAGAAGAGACCAAAGAAGAGGAGGTTCCTAGTGACGATGGTAAGCTACGTAAAATTAAAACAACTAAACGTACTATTAAAAAGCGATTAGGTCCAAAACTCGAAACAACAGAAATCACATCAACACAAACAGATGACGAAACACCAATCGTTACAGTACACACAACAGAGGAAATTCTCGATGACACTACATCTCCACTTGACACTTTACAAGAACCACAACGAGCTAAAGTGATTGAAGAAGAACCCGAACAAGTACAGATTGAACAAGTGAAGACGGAAAGTGGTGAAACGCAGCAGATGAAGACAATCAAGCGAGTGATTAAAAAGCGTAAAGGGCCCAAGAAAGAAGTAACTGAGATAACAACGATTGAAAAGGAAGGCGAAGAACCCGTCACCAGTATTGTCGTGAAAGAAGAACCTGCTCCAGACTTCGAAGAGCTCCCTGAAGTCCCACAAGTGCTTGAGCTTCCGGAAGAGACCAAAGAAGAGGAGGTTCCTACTGACGATGGTAAGCCACGTAAAATTAAAACAACTACACGTACTATTAAAAAGAAATCAGGTCAAAAACAAGAAACTACAGAAATCACATCAACACAAACAGACGACGAAAAACCAATCTTTACAGTACACACAACAGAGGAAATTCTCGATGACACTACATCTCCTCTTGACACTTTACAAGAACCACAACGAGCTAAAGTGATTGAAGAAGAACCCGAACAAGTACAGATTGATCAAGTGAAGACGGAAAGTGGTGAAACCCAGCAGGTGAAGACAATCAAGCGAGTGATTAAAAAGCGTAAAGGGCCCAAGAAAGAAGTAACTGAGATAACAACGATTGAAAAGGAAGGCGAAGAACCCGTCACCAGTATTGTCGTGAAAGAAGAACCTGCTCCAGAATTCGAAGGGCTCTCTGAAGTCCCACAAGTGCTTGAACTACCGGAAGAGACCAAAGAAGAGGAGGTTCCTACTGACGATGGTAAGCCACGTAAAATTAAAACAACTAAACGTACTATTAAAAAGCGATTAGGTCCAAAACTCGAAACAACAGAAATCACATCAACACAAACAGATGACGAAACACCAATCGTTACAATACACACAACAGAGGAAATACTCGATGACACTACATCTCCACTTGACACTTTACAAGAACCACAACGAGCTAAAGTGATTGAAGAAGAACCCGAACAAGTACAGATTGATCAAGTGAATACGGAAAGTGGTGAAACGCAGCAGGTGAAGACAATCAAGCGAGTGATTAAAAAGCGTAAAGGGCCCAAGAAAGAAGTAACTGAGATAACAACGATTGAAAAGGAAGGCGAAGAACCCGTCACCAGTAT